TGAACTCCACTCAGGAAGTCATGGTGCAGCGGCAAATACAAATGTCGCCTACCTGACTGAGGCACATCATAGGCTGACAATTTCTGCAATTTCGCCATCTAGTCTCAGGTCTGGCAGTTAACGACACCACTTTGTATGACGTTCATAGGGTATATCCAAGCCATAGAGGCCGGTATTTCAAGATCAACATAGTTTATCAGAAGTCACCTTCACTGAGGTCTACCTAGATGGGCTGGGAAACCCTGATTCCGAACTTATTTTTCATATCAGGCCGTGGAACGGAAGACAAATGGCGAGGGAGTCGCCAGGGCTTATTCCTTTTGCCTCCATGGTTGTTCGTGGCATTCCTGAACTGGTAACTGAGAACGCCTGCGAGAGGCATTGCCATGATATACAGCAATGGAGATGGTTGGCATCCCAGATGGCCCTGGGGAGTTCAGGGGCTGTCTCTATTTATAGACTGCCTCGACCCACTCACCTTATATCAATTAACACGCCACGTCTGTTAGCTGTCAATTTCAGCTCCCGAAACGAGTTGACTACCGCTCTCCAAAGATGGTACGAGACCAAGGAGAAGGTCAGCAGACACATTCGCTGCTGCGAGAGCCGGCCTCGCACCCAAAGGAGAGAACAAAGCGTATTTTAAAAAATCCTCAACCCCTAGTCACACTGCAGCTGTGCAGCACGGACGATGATAGCCAGTGTCATCCGAGTGCTCCGACTGAACTAGAAGAAAAAAACGCCAACAGGCCGGTTCCTGGGGAATCGGCCAACTAGTTCGTAGGATAACTCCTCAACCGATAGCCAATATCAAGTCAACTACCCCCCAATACGGGGAAGTGGTGAGACTGACTACCAGTTGCCTGTACAGTAATGTGAGAGGGCTAAGAGGCAAAATAGCTGAACTTAGACACCTACAATCACAACTGAACTCCAAAATCATAATACTGACGGAAACCTGGCTAACCCCTACGGTGGCAGACAGAGAAGTCAGTATAAATGATATGGTCCTAGTCAGGCGAGATAGGGACCTGAAAGAAGGAGGTGGAGTCGCCATATACGTCGACAAACAGCTCAGATGTGTTTACGCGATGGACTCTCCCCTCACTGAGCTCCCTGACTCCATATGGTGCCACTTCACCGTTGGGTACTGCAAATATCTAGTGGGCAGCATTTATCGATCACCTTCATGTGGAGCAGACCACAACCAGGTACTGCTAAATACAATCTCAGCAACTCAAGACATGGGTTATGATCAAATTGTCATAGCTGGTGACTTCAATGCCCCATCTCTTAACTTGGTGTCGGAAAACGCCCATGATAGATTTGATCGAAATCTGCTGCATACCATCAGGAAGGCTGGATTCACTGAAAATGTCAGGATGGATACTAGATGGGGCCCTGATGGGAAGTCTTCTAGACTGGATTACGTGCTCACTAGTGACCAGCTACTAGTGGAAAACGTTCAGATCACGACTCCCATAGGTAGTAGTGACCACGCGGTCATAGTATTCGACATAGTCCTCCGCGAGCGCTTACAGTGGGACAATACACAGCCCTATCTGTGTTATAACAAAGCCAACTACACCAAAATGCGAAAACTTCTGTCTGAAGCAAATTGGCCTAAAAAATGGACAGAGCTAACAGTAGAAGAACACTGGAGAGTGGTAAAGGAGATCATTCACCAAGCGGTCTCAGACACCAAAAGCTAGGAAGCAACGTTCATGGCTAAAAAGGGGGCACAACGCCTTCTGCAGGCGAAGCGAAAAGCCTGGTTTGCGTGGCGACGATCGAAGAGTCAACCCGAACATGAAGTGTACCTTGAACTCAGGAATCGATGTAACATACGAGTCCGGAGCGATAGAAGGACATTTCAGGGAAACCTCGCCAATAAGCTTCTCGTGAACCCCAAAAGCCTATACAGGTTTATGTCCGAAAGAAAACCGACCAACCAGGGAGCATGCAATCTAGTGGGTTCTGATGGGAAATCTCTTACTAGTCTTGAAATGGCAGAGACATTCAGCCTAGCCTTTCACAGGCAACTAAACAGTAACGAGGATATTACCCCCACAGAACATCCAGATTACATCGCAAAACCAACGCGCGAAAACCTCCTGGGTACATTTCAAATTACCCCGGCTATGGTACTTGTAAAATTGGGAAAGTTGGCTTCGGGAAAGTCTTCAGGTTGTGATGACATCAGACCATCTGTCCTGAAGCAGTGTTCAGAAAGTCTCTGCCAACCCCTAAGCGATCTGTTCCAACACTCCCTTGATGTAGGGAAACTTCCATGTGAATGGAAACGAGCAATCCTATCCCCTATCTTCAAGGGTGGTGACCGGCAGAATGCGACCAGTTACAGACCAGTTGCTCTACTTCCAGTGATATCGAAAATATTGGAAAGCCTCATTGACGACCATATGAGAAAATACTTCGATGGGACTAACCTTCTTCACGAAGCACAGCACGGTTTCAGGAGGGGAAGATCCTGCGTGACGAATCTTCTACTAGCTTGGAACGATTGGACACTATCCTGGGACGAAAAGGTACCAGCCCACGTGATCTTTCTCGACTTTGCGAAAGCATTCGACACAGTTCACCATGGTCTGCTCCTTCACAAAATAAGCAAGGCGGGTGTTTCTGGAGCACTTCTCGCATGGCTGAAAGATTACTTAGGCGAGAGAGAATTCTGCACCAAAGTCAACCGCATCCGATCATCCTGGCACACCTCGGCATCAGGGGTTCCTCAGGGTTCTATCCTAGGGCCGTTGATGTTTTTGATTTTTATCAACGACCTGCCCTCCCAACTAAACTGCTCTGCGCTTCTTTACGCTGACGACGTAAAGATTTGGAGAGCAATAAACTCATCGGAAGACTCAGATAGATTGCAGGCTGACCTGCAAACTCTGGGAAACTGGGCTCTGGCTAACGGAATGCCTTTCAACCTAAAGAAGTGCAAAGTAGTGCAACTTCATTCCGGCAGGTCACAGAGTGTAAATTACACCCTTGGTGGCCAGAACTTGAGTTGTGTTCCATCAGAGCACTATCTAGGTCTTATTCTAACAGAAAAGCTAGACACCAGTGGAAATTACTCGAGGGACGTCGCCAAAGCCTACGCAACTTTACACTTTATGCATAGGCAGCTGGGAGCTCTCACTCCCGAACTGTTCTTAAGGTTATATAAGGCATATGTGAGGCCACACCTTGAGGTGCATAATATCATTGCACCTCCGCTACTCAAAAGGGATGCTAACATTCTAGAAAGTGTCCAGAGACGAGCGACAAAATGGGTGATCGGCCTCCGCAACAAATCATATGAGGAAAGACTAAAGAAATTAGGTCTTTTCACACTTAGTTACCGTAGGCACAGGGGAGACCTCATCACCGTCTACCAGATCCTAAATGACCAGGCCCACCCAAATAAAAGCATCCTGCCATTAAGTGATTATAGGCTTCCACGAGGTAACCCGCTAAGGATAGCACACCAGAGACCAAAGACTCGAGTGCGATCACATTTCTTTTCGCTTCGTGTTTGCCGTCTCTGGAACGCTTTACCGGCGGCCGTGACTACAGCGCCATCTGTGGAGATTTTTAAGCGGAAGCTAGACAATCATGCAGAAATGCAAGGTTTGTGTCTCAATGGCTTATCCTCATAAAACTTAAAACCACACTGTCAATGGATAAGCGTACAAACTAAATCCCCACGACCTATTCTGCCTTCTCTCACTCTATCTTTTCCTTAGGTCACCTTTATTATTCCACTTATCTCAACCTATATTATCTACACTACAACCTACTATTATTATTATTACTATTCTGCTTTTATGACTACACAGAATGACCAACGGGAGTTAGGTCAAACTCCATTCACGGCAGCAACACAGTCCTAACATACTGCATACTACAAACCACATCTTGACCAATCCCCACACCACTCCTTGGAGTCTACCAGAGCTAAAGCAGTCGAGTGGCTGGACTTACTACGCAGAAGCTCACCGAAGATCTGGAACCTCTACCTCACAATCAAGAAGCGAGCTCAAAGAAATCACTGGTTTATACTAGCTCGTAATCAGGATGTTGGATATTGGAGATGTAGAATTCGAAGTGATAGAATAGCGTATGAATTTATTTCATTCAACAAGGGTGCAGCTCGTGGGACCACTTCACCGCCTTGTGTGTCAGGTATGAAGTTCAAGTCCAGCAGGTGTGTAGTTCACTAAGATAACCATCTACTTTGGTCTCGCTACTCTGGCATTATCTCAGTCGTCGTAAAAATCAGGAAGCAGCAGTTAGCGAGAGAAACTATGATCACGTACTCACCAGTACAGACTACATCTTCAACAACTGTCGGTCGAGGGCAAACAACCAGTAACACAGTCTTACATTCAGCTTCCTTATATACAAAATTGTTTGACAAGACTACTGGGCAGGAATCAAACTTAGCATGGTAAAACGTCAAAAACTGAATGAAGTTAAAGTGATGTGAAATGTTCAATGCCTTTTTGAAAACAAATTATTATTTTACAAAGGGGTATTGATGAATTATTATAAACCAATTTCTTTTTCTTAGAAGTATCTTCACTTATATCACAAATTTAATAGGTTCAATCTTTCATTTGGATTATTTCATAACTCCCTCCAATGAATAACTTTGAATTTACAAAAGTTATTCACACATACATTGACCAGTGTCGAAGGAAGAATAGAAAGAGATGTTAACATTGACAGAAAATGAATACTGCATACAAAAAATAAGTTTAGAATATTTCACAAGTTCCCTTTAATTTAACCCTGAGTATACATTTTTTCACATTTTGGTTATTTATAGAGTTATGTTTCGATTTGTTTCAAAATGTTAAAATTAGAAAAAAGAGAGAGACAGAGAAAGTTAAAATTGCCCATGTGCATAAGAAAACATAATCCCTCAACCCCGCAACAACCCGCACAGAATATTGAATACATAAGTAAATGTAGAGAACAAAATGCCATACATACAAAATTCATGTTAATTTTTCTGCATCTTCAGGAATCATAAATTCTTTAGGCAATTTTGCAGCAAGTTTTTTAGCCAACTCCTCTTGATTAGCATCATCATCATCAGCATCATCAAAATCACCAGAGAATTCAGTATCTATTGATTCATTATGTTCATTGGCGGGTAATTTCACTTCATAACTATTTGCATTCAAACCACCAAGTAAATAATCAACAATATTTGGATGTGGTAAATGTCCTGATGGATGATTTAATACAAGCCAATCACGTGAATAAATTTCATCACCTCGTGGATCATGTTTATCTTTAGAAGTATCTTTTGGTGGTAACCAAAATGGACGATATTTACTCGTGGATTGAATATTTCGATTGAAATTTACTTCATCTAACAACCATTTACACATTTCTGGGGAAAAATATTGTTCAAATGTTGAATACATTTGTGATTTATTTTTAATAAGGCATACTTTTGATACAGTTGTTTGTGGTAGAAATGGTTTAATTGCTTGCCAAGCTACTTTGAATGCTGGTCCTGGACGTATACACAGCGCTAAGCCTAAACGTTCTGGATAATGATTAGACATTAATTTAGCACATTCATAGCCTAAACGTGGTTGACAACTTGTTGGGGTCATGCCTAAAATGTTTAGATTTAGAAAACAAAAAAAAAACAACAAAAAATCAATTTAAGTGCATAACTATATATATATATATATTGGTTGGAGGATTTCATCATGAGCTGACATCAGTTAGAGAACCCCTAGAAAACCTTGGAGTACTGGACAGGTGTTTCGTCCTAGTATGAGACTCTTCACAGTACGCGCCCGTCCGTATTCGGACACAAGGTGAGCTAGGTCGTAAACCATCACGACAACTTGCAGAAGTTAGACTTCACGGACTGGCCACTGGATTGGATCCCAGTGGCTTAATGGTTAACGAGCTTTCTAAATCAAGCACGTTTACCACAGACGCATCTGACTGGTTGGTGTATATTAGCCAATGTCTTTATTAGATAGCTTCGTTTTGGGCTGCTATAGTTTAGAGTCACCGTAACCCAAAAGTTTCATAGATTGATTAAAAATCAGCTGACTTTGAGCGCAATGAAGATTGATTAGTTCAAACAAAGAGAGAACGGAGATATTTGCAGGTTTAAAAACCAACTCATATGTTTTTAATTCACAGTTATACATCGGCTACAAATAGTAAATATAGAAAGCAAGTCTGTCACTAAGTATCTTGGACTAATTCTTTCTTCTCAACCTTCCAGGTCTTCCCATGTCTTAGCGACTTCTAAAAAATATTTCGTCTGACGTTTTACATTAAGAAGTTAAGACACTCAGGCATAACTCATCCCCTCCTCCTACAGTTTGTCAATTCGTGCATTTTACCTATTCTTCTTTACTGCTCACCCTTATTCTTTCCTTGATTGCTTAAAAAAGACTATATCATTCTTCGTAGAACTCTGAAGACTGTCACTAGGGCGAGTGGTTGTATCCCATTGGGCCATATCGATCGCTGACATCGTCATTGATGATAAGCGCCTGATTTCGTCCAGCAAATTCGCCGAAGAGATTTTGTCTGATGTGAGCATCCACAGCAGCACCCGCAGCTTTCATCTTTTTGCATCTCCTCAGGTAGAACAAGAAATCATTTCAAAAGATTTGACGCTCGTACACGTCTAGGTATAGAAAACACACGTTACTATATTTGGTGGTACGTATTTTATGTGATGAAAATAGTGTCAGCGACGAACTAACTAACTAACCTTCTTTCCACTAGTAAATAAACAGTTTCCTTCATCCTTACTTATACCATCAAAGCTTTACTGTTATTATGCTTCCTATGTTTATATTCCTCTCATTTGTCTTCGCTTCTTTTCTCATAAGTGTAAACATCATTTAAGCTCGGTAATAATTGTCATTATTTGGTTTTTTCCTTCACTATGCTATGTCAAAGGAACATTACACTCGATACTGTATGGCATGCAAGAATTTCCATACTGTATCCACAATATTGCTTGAAACAAACCCAATGTTATCATAAATTATCATAGTTATTATTCTCATTTTGTATTTTGCGCATTTTTGACATTACTTCTACTGTAAATGTGGGCGAATCCCTGTGGTTACTAATTTTATTTATGATGTTTTGAGTAAGTTAGATGCGATATTGTGATAAATGCTGAAAATTCCATTCTGCATTATAAGGATTATCTTTTTTGGAATAAAGCAGATTATTATTAAGAACGACATAATTTTGAAATAATAAAGAAGATTTGTAGCTCAAGTGGATGATTTGCAATTAATAGTGTTCTCTGAGCTGGTTGGTTGAGTTGCGGAGCTCTCGTCATCCACCCCTTTTGGACAACATCCTCCTTCAGCGCAGTATTTAGCACAAAATGAAATGATTTAAATTTCTTCAAGAGTGATATAATTGCGTCGCCCGTACGTTACGTTGATGATACATTTGTAATAATCAAAAGAAATGATTTAGAATATACCCATAAATTAATAAACAACATATTTGAAGACATCAAATTCACTACGAGAGAGGAAAAAATCGATAACAAAATCCCATTCCTCTTAGATGTCTTAATTAGAAGAACCAACACAGGAAATTTAGAAACACAAGTATATAGAAAATCAACGCACACAGATCAAATACTCAACTATACTAGCAATAATCCAATTACTCACTCACAAGAGAAACTGTGTGCAGACATTGTTTAGAAGAGTTCAAACACATTGTAGCACACCAGAGTTGAAAAGAATGGGAGAAAAATACTTACAAACGGTCTTCAAGAAGAATGGTTATCCATAAAGTTTCATCATAAAATGTTTAAAGTCGAATCGAAACACCAACAAAGAACCATCATAAAAGACCATGAGAAATATCTCTGAAATAACAGCTAGAATAATGAAACCGTTTGATATAGATATAGCACACAAACCAGTCAAATCGCTTAATTCGATATTGTGCAAACCGAAATATCCAACAGAAAAAGGCGATAAGATTAATACCATTTACAAAATAAATTGTGTGAACTGTAACAAGCATTACATCGGCTAAAGTGGGCGTCCCTTTCGAATCAGAATCCAAGATCACAAATCAGCTGTGAAAAGACACGATATATATTATTAAGTATCAATGCATAAAGACAATTATGGAAATCAATTTGATTGGGATAATGTTAAAATCTTAAACAGAGAAAACACCAAAAGTACAGTCACGGAATTCTTAGAATACGAACGAATACGCAATTAACAAACAAGTCAATATAGACCAAATATACCAACTAATAAAAAGTAAATTACATGTGACCAGAAAGTTTAAAATCCAAGTCAATAGAAAATGATCAATACATGTGTAAAGATGGTTACCAGGAGAGGAAATTATATCACTCATGAAGAAATTTAGGTCATTTCACTTTATGCTAAAACTTGCCCTGAAGGGGGATGTTGTCCAGAAGGACGACGAAAGATGCGCAACTAAACCAACCAACCAGCTCAGAGAACACTATGAATTGCAAATGACATAATTCGTTTTAAATAGAAACACGATATAATATATAATTCAAAAAATTATATCAACTCAAAGGATATCTTGATGGAACAAGGCATATTCTGTAACGGTAGAAGAAGGAAGATTTGGTAAAGGAGTGTTTAATAAAGAATCCGATATCGCTGTATGGTGAAATTATGCACACCTTATCTCTTCAAATCATTATTAGCACAGATCTTCCGTCTTGTTCCACTTCTCGACTTCATATTGTATTGATTTGTCTTCTTTCCACATCTCTTATGGGTTTCCAAAACGATGTATCATTTGCTTGTTCTGATATCATATTTGCCGCCGTGATATCTGATGTTTTTTTTACGGATGAACACCTCTTTACATATATACTACTGGTAAATCTTATCAGTAGCACAGTAGCGCAGTATCAATATAAAATAGTTAATAATCTAACAGAGTTAACCTATACATAATGTGGTGTAACATTAGAAACAAGAGAGTGGGAGTGAAAAGAAATGGCAGGTAAGTAGAAGTAAAATTTCTTCTTTAAGCTATGGACCTCTAGCCAATCGATATTATCTCACTGACAGCTGATATGATCGAGTGGACTGATGCGTAGGCATAACAATACTGATGCAATGAACACAATCCAACTGATATATTAGATAAACTAATTTGTCCATAGTACCTTATCGCTTCAATTAGCCACGTAATTATCAAAAGACAAAAACTGCCTTGCGACTGTTAGGATAAGATTTTTAACAGGACAAACACGACATATCCACATACTTTTTATCACATTAAAATCGGCCCAGGCCAATATAAATGAACTGTTTTGATTGGTTGGCAATTCGACTATGGTAGACGAGAAACAAAAATTCTGATTGGTTGACAATCTGACCATCTGTTATCCGATAACAAGATGAATTACATGATGAGTCATAAGATGGTTACTGTTTTAAGCGGATTCCTATCTGTTTATATGACAGTACTTACTATCTAGGCTTCAAATTCATTATACATATTTATATTATTTACATTACTACTCTCAGATTTCCTATAAGTCTTCATACATTTCCAAATAAATTCAAGTTGTACGAATACATTGATACAATTAGGAAATTCCAATGAAATAAAATGAATTCATATGGTCCTGGAAAAAGGTCTTCATTATTCACATTATTCAAATATGAACAATAAGTTATACGTCAATCTGAACGAAGAATACACTTTTCAATAATTTCCCCTCTTCAGGTTCTTAGAATTATAAAATACAACGTATTTGTCGTCTTTACAATAATGATAGCCAGTTAGTTATGGATTGAATATATTTCTGAGTCGAATAACCTTTTAGTACGTATAGGATGTTAAAATAAATAGTAGGGTATAGCAGGATGAAGATGAGGCAGCAACTCATCACCGAAATGGTCGCGCTATGTCGGGAATTGGCAGAAGGCATAATTCATGGATTGGCCATTCAATTGGGTCCCAGTGGCTCAATGGTCTACGAGCTCGCCTTGTAACCAGAAGGTCCTGGGTTCAAGCCCCGGTGGGCGCGTGCTGATGAAGAGTCCCAAACTAGGACGAAACAGATATCCAGCACTCCCAGGTTTTCCAGTGGTTTTCTAACTGATGTCGGCTCATGACGAAATCCTCCATTCAATAAAAGTAAATAGTATTTGTGTGACAAACGTCGTGATAGGCTGAATTCAATTACAAAATATTGTGAAATGGTAGACAGTGGTGGTGACTAGTAATAATAGATTCGTATAATGTGAGGCGCGGGGTATGATTGTGACTGGTAGTGGAGTCCAGGACGCGCACTTCGTCCTATTTGGGATTCGTCAACTGTATGTACCTGCATTCCGCAGTGACTAATGATGTTCCCACCGAAGCTCATCACTCACTGCGTATTGCAAGTATATCCAGTTGACGAGTCCCGAATAGGACGAAGTGTGCGTCATCCTGGATACCGCTGCTAGTCACCATCCACCAATTGAATTCTGATTATATGACCAGACATCGTGAAAAAGCATCTACACAAGAAGCCGCCGACATGTCAACCTGAGATGGAGCACTTCTATCCTATCAATCAGTCGACGGGAAAATCTAAAATTGAATT